CGTATTTCTCTGTGTGGCATTTAGACCATAGACTTAGAATATACTGACGTATATACGACCTGACAGCCATGAAGTTATAGATAAAGATGGAGACCACACTCCGAATACCTACTTGAAGCTTAACCTATGTATTACTATCTCGCTCTCTGTGGGCAGACCCTCCCTTTCTAAGTAGGTAACCTTTATTTTATTTTTCCCAGGATATCCCTATATGCAGTTGCATTACATTAAGTGGTTTATTTATAAATATATACATCTGTGTTTACTACTAATACCTAGCCTATATAGATTATATATTTTTGTACAATGTTTTTTTTGGGAATTGACTAGTTTTATGAAGAAAGGTTTTCATTTCCATGGGCAGAACCGGTATCTAAAATATGACCACGCATTTCCGTTACAACCCATATAATGCCGAGCCTATTTAGAAAATGTGGAAAATAAATATATCAGAGAATATTTTATAACTACCATTTATGTATTTTCTGGTTATTGTATACAATTCCTAAACGGTACCAACGAAATATAAAATTAAAATTTATTATAACACCCCGAGTGATCAATGAATTAGGCAAAATATACTTGATTTATTTTCAGACAGACTAAAATAAATCTATTTCTGTACAGTTATTTAATTTTTTTTATCACGAAGACTAAAGGAGCGTAGCGGAGCCTCTGCCTTAGCCTTCTGACCTTACCCATCCGAGTCAGACTGCTCTGAGCTGAAAGGAGTATAATACTATATTCCACACAACCTGTTCATTTTAAGAATTATCTACAATTCCTAGGAATACTGTATAATGACGAATTTCATAGATTTCTAGTAGCATATGTACTATAATAGGAATGGTAATATATGAAAAAAAAAAACTTAAAAAATAAATAAAAAAAAAACTTTCCATATTAAAATCATTTATTGATATTTTTCTGTTATACATGACTAAATATCATTGCTATGTGTAGTTTCTGTCTCTTACCATGTAAATCACTGAGTATGTTTTCTGTATAACTCTTTATTTGAGCACGTATACGCATATTAAAAAATGAATTAGCTATTTTCTTAGCTATCATGATTTCCTGCAAATCATTACAATTAATTGAGTGATGGGATGTTTAAACATTCCCTGCAATAGAGAAGTAAAATGTTGTGACACAACATTAATTAATTTGTTTTCAATGTTATTGGCTCTATGTTTGCCCATCAAATTAGCTCGTTGAAAAACTTGGTCACAATCTTTTCCTTAAGTGCAGAATTACTTTCATAAATGCCAGAACTAGTGCTTGGTACAGCCAGAACAGCTATTTACACCATAGACTCTTCATGTAATGCACTTGTTGTCTGCAAATGATAAATGTTGCTTTATATCATAGATTTAAACTACTACATTTCTAAATACGAAACTTAACCTCTAATTACGTAAAATAGATAATTAAATTATATTAAATTTTTACCTTGCCTGGTGATACTGTTTCTTGATTTATTGTAACATTAGGAACTGATATTGGTTTGAAACGCCTTGTTGTTGTATCATAATCTAATTCTTGAAAATGCAAATTGCAAATCCTTGCACTTTCATAATACTTCATTTTCAATGGTACAATGGATAACCACAAATTTCTCCGAGTACCGTTTTTAGGGAATCTAAAAAAAAGTATTCGTAATTATTGTAAACGTTATTAAAGTAAGAATTGTATATAATTCCTAAATTTCATGCATTTCCGGTAACATAATAAGAAACACATATAATTAGTTAAGGTCACACGGAAAGTCCCAGATACATCCTCAATATGGTCACACTACTTCAGTGCGTTTTCTTTTAAACAAAAACAATAAAATTGTTCAAAGTCAATTAAATTCAATGTAAAACTATTTGATTTTGACATAGTTATAATTTACTAATATGTTTAAAACACTGGTAAAACGTTTCAGCAAAAAATTAAGTAAAAATATAAAGAAGTATTTTTACAAGTATTCAATGCCAGAAGTCACTAATTAAACACTTACGCGTGAAATCTTATATCACCTCCTGGACACCAACAACTGCAGCAACCACGCACTACACAAGTTTACACCATTTCTTGAATTATAACAATAACTAGCTGTGCCCCGCGGTTTCACCCGCGTATATCACGCGTCTGCGACTTGCGACATGCGAACTTCGAGAGAGACATCACCATGGACGGTTGCTGAATTAACAAAGATTTAAAAAGTGAAATATGGTTCTAAAATTACATGGTTAATGTAATTGGTGGTATGCATGATACAGGCACTGATACGAATAATGCGGCCTAGTTTGTACCGGCGTTACTATTTCACATTTTAACATGAAAAAGTAGTTATTGTGACATAACTGTAATAGTTAAACATATGGTATCGCAGACTTTTTCGTAGATATTGATATCGTCTATAAAACTGAAGTACATTACATTGCTCTATTATCAATAGTTTCCGCAGCCTACGCGATATAAGGATTTTTATTGGTATTTTTTTCACACCTTGGGTTACATTAACGAAGTTTTCATACGGATCTCTAACTTTTTTGAAAATATTATATAGCCTATGTTATTCAGGGATAATGTAGAATTCTAATGGTGAAAGAATTTTTCAAATCGGTCCAGAAGTTTCGGAGCCTATTCAATTCAAACAAACAAACAAACAAACAAATTTTTCTTCTTTATAATAGTAGTGTAGAAGTGTAGATTAAGTTTAATTATATCAAACGACGATGTGGACTGTTAAGTAAACAACCGCCATATTTGTCTAATTTATGTTGACATATAGGGCTAATGTTGCCACATTACCGAACCCTTAGGAAATGGGATTGTAATTCACTGATTCGTTAACCCAATAATGCATACGAGACCTTCAATTTTGGAATTTTTAATGTAACTAATTGTAGTTCAGCTATTTATTTATTGGTACATTATTTTGCAGAGCTTAACTTCTGATTTGGTTATTGTTGAAACCATTTCTAAGAATTTACCAGGAGATTTAAATAAAAATATAGCAATACTGTATTCCACACTAAAAAGAGAAGTCAGACCACAGAGAGTGAGATAAAGATACGTAGGTATTTGACTCGAGCTGTTGTTCCAAGTGTGGCCTCCATCTTTATCTATTACTTCATGCTGACAGCCCATAGATATAGTATATACTCCATAGATTGGCAATTACAACTGGAAAGAGAGACCAAAAACTGATTGTCTTTGTGTGTGTAGATTGTCAATGTGTGCAGTAATATTGTTGTACCGTAATGATTTATCGATATCGATCAAAATAACCTTTTTAAATAAAATGTGACAATATGAAATATACTGTACTTATGTCATATTATATCCTTTACTATTTGGTGCTTAAGTTTTCACGTTATAAACGTACAAGATTTCTAGAGAATGTATTAAATCGAGTAGCTTTTTTTGTTGAATATCATCACGGCCCATTCATGTTCCACTTCTGGTACGCCTATCTTACCATAAGATGGGGCGGGGCGTAGGGTAGGATTTCGTTTGACTTTTCTGACTTTTGTAGTAATAATGTATCTTAGCCCAGCCCTTTACTCCTCGTACTTTAAAACACCTGCAGGTTGGAATGGGATGAATACATAAAGAAAACACTGACAAGGCCTTACGGTGTTTGTATCGACATGCGACTGTTTTTCTTATAAAACAATGTTGAGAAACGAGCACAGTCTTCCTGAAGGTAAGTGGATACTATAGCTCATGGACATCTTCATTTATCCTCAATTAATCATCAAAATGCAGATGCGTTGTCACCCTTGACCCATTGAAGGCGGCTCGAAAAATCGCCTTTATTACGCAGGGGCGGGCGGTTTAAAGAACTAACTCCGATAGGCGTCGGAAGCATCTTATATTTAAAGACTTTGACACCGATCGGCGTTTTCCGCACATGAGAATGATTCTTGCTTGTTTACACAGAATTTTATTGACGCTTAACAGTCTACGCCATGTCAAGTGACTGCATACTCAGTAGCCAAGTTACATTTGTATATAATAAGTTATTTTTTGATTAAAACAGTGAAGTTTTATTAAAAATACTAGCGATTTCCTATTTACCATAAATATGGCTGGAAATAGTGAATGAATTTGTTTCTATTCTATTCAGTACTAGCTGACCCGGTGAACTTCGTACCGCCTAACAGTCGATTCTTTAATTTTTTATTTTTTTAATACTTATTTCATTTTATTACTTTTTTTTAATTACACCGGGTCAGCTAGTAAGATAAAAAATGAAAAAAGAAAGCTTTATGGTATTTTTGACTTTTAAGTATTATTACGAATCTTTTGTATGGGAATATAGAAAAGTGTTGTTTTTAGACTTTTTCAGGCATTTTTTTTAATTTTCTCTCCGTAAGAACCATCTTCGTACTTCAAGGAATATTATAAAAAAAAGAATTAGCGAAATCGGTTTAGCTGCTCTCGAGATTTGCGCTTAGCAACATATTCAGCGATTCATTTTTATATTATTTTAATTACGACAATTTAAATTACGCCGTTGTGCGTACACTGCAACGAATGGGTTGAGGATTAAGATCGAATGCCTCATTTTCAGTAAAAATGGTCTCCGGTTCTCTTCTCACCATACAAAACACAACAGCATTAAGCTGCTATTTTACGCTGGTATTCTGTGAGAGCGTTGTCGTACCCCGGTCGAGTCGACCTATTCATGCTATGCAACCATAACATACCTGCAGCGTGGCTCTACACGTAATAAAAGAATTAATGATAGATGTCTATCAACTATAAATTACTATTAGTACTAATTGTAAATTTATAGATCTACCACCTCCACGCGAATCCCCTCTCAGCATCGCCGAAACAACTGTTGGCAGGGAGAGGTTCCACCACCAGCCGATATTTTTTTTTATTGAACCGATTTGATGCATTCGCATACGGATGATGACTTTATGTATAATAATATTTTTGCCGTATAAAATACATTTATGGTAACATCTATAGGGAAAAAGTTGAAATAAAATGAAGACTCGCAAAAAATGTTTATTAGGTACCCTTAAAAATAATCATTTTATTATAAAATTGTCGAATACTATCTTTGTTAACATTTCGCAATTTGTGTTCATACTTTATTCTTATGATAAAAAACTTTTCAATAATCAATTTTACTAATAAATACTTATGATTGTTTATTGGATCTTGATCATAAATATGATCATTTAGAGATGGGAAACAGTGATCATTTAAAGTTGAAAATTTGTTTAAAAAATTATAAATTGTCCTCGTGATAATCAGACGTAATTGGTTTTTATTGAGATTTTTAAATCTTATATTTTCTCTATAAATTGTTTCACAAAACAAACATACGTCGATCACATCTTTTGACGGATAAATTAAGCCTCCTTTATCTTTATGAAATATTAATGATTTTATATCACTTTCCTGAGAATGCAGGACTGCAATGCAATCTGCACACTTAAGTTTTTTTTGCAAAGCTTTTACAATATATCCACTTATATACTGTACAACAATTTTAATAACTTCTTTTCCTTGTGTGTATGGCAAAGAAACTAAAAAGTCGTCTTCCTCATGAATACTAGAAACCGAAAATTCTGCGATCTCTTCATCGACATGATCTTCGGTTTTTCCAATGGCTAAATTTAACCGCTGCATAGTGCTCAAATTACTTAAAGCTAATATGGTTACATTTTGAATTGGCAGACAATTTGTATTATCGCTTATTTGTATTTCTGCATGACACAACAACCGTTTATATGCAGATATAAAACTTCGTGCAGATGGGTTATTATCAAAACCCCCTCGACTTCTTATGCAACTGAAAAATGTTTCTAAATGATCTTGTGATAATTTGTACAATGGGAGAAACTTAAACAAATCTGAATTTATGTAATCATTATACAACATTTTTAAAGATTGAATATTAAAAATAAAACCTAGGAAACCTAATTTTCTGTTTGAAGTAATAACTTTTTGGTAATTTTCCAAAGTTAAACTCTGCATGAACTCTGTAAACCTGTCTAGTTCTTTAAAAATCATATTGACATTATTTGAATTGATAGGTTTTTTGAAACCTGGACTCAATAAATTTCTTGAGTTAAAAATATCAAAAGTGTTGTTGACAATTCTGATAAAATTTACTGTAGCATTTGCCCCTTTGAATTCAGGAATATTTGTGTTTTTTTCACAATATTCAATGCTTGTAGCAACAGAATTACTGAGTAACTGGGCTGCAAGCTTAACTTTCATTTTATTTTTGAAATAGTTAACATGTCTATATGTTAACTTATTAGCTAAATTTAATTGAATTTTTTCTTGTAATTCGTTTAAACTAGTAATGTAATAGTAAGATATGATGTCGTCATTACGATAGAAAGTCTTAAAATCAGCAAAGGCATTTCTTATTAATTTTAATAAGTGACATGCATCGAAAATTGTATAAATTTTTGCACTTTTATATATAAAGAATGGTTTGTAAGGTTCATGGTCCAAATTTGCCCCTAAAATTCGAACCATATTAATATTAGAAGCAATCCCATCAAATGTCACTGACATGACTTTTGCTTCTGTTACTGTCAGTGCATCTAAGCATAATTTGAGAAGTGAAGCCTATTGTACAGCTGTAAAACCTCTCCCAAAAAAAAAGGCAATTGGTAATTTCCAATATGAATTTACAGCTACTGCCATAAATACTAAAACTTCATTGGCTAATTCTATCTTGTCACCACTTAAATTATTGCCTACATCCACAAACCCATAATGCCTATGGCCATCCCATTCCGTAAATTCTCTTATTCCCATCTCATCCATTATTAAAGAAATAATCAAATCCGGTTTTTCTGCCCTAAATTGTTTAATTGCATTAATGGCTTCCTGAGTAATCCCAGGTTCACAATTTATATTTTGGTACCAACCTCTAAGGGTTCTTGGATGTGGTAAGCAAAGAGAAAACTTTTTTCTTATAAAATTGTAAGCCTGTGGACTATAAAAGTGCAGAGTGATGGCAAATTTTCTTAATTCTATCCCATATTTTGTCCTACTATTAATAACATTTTTTTTATTGCTATTGACCCTTTCTACCAAGTGTGACAAAAGCTCATTTGGACAAGATTCTATAACTGCAGTCAAATCATTTCTCAATGATGGACGGGCCTGTAAATCTCTGACAACTTGACTAAGTTGAATTATTTTAGATTCCTTACGTTTCTTTTGAGCACGTAGATTTTTTAGTTTTTTTTCTTTGTCAATAATTCTCTTCAATTGTGATATTGTCTTTAACATTTTCCTCTTCCTTGGGGTCACTTCAATACCACTGATTGAAATACTATTTTCAGATAACCTAGGTAAAGATTCAATATCTCGGTAGCGATACACAGTTGATTTACGTGGAAGAGGAATTTCTACCTGAAATTTAAATAAATGATATGTATGGGCTAATTTCATATAAGTTATGTGTTGCAAAAGCAACATAACAGTACATATTATTGTTATGCAATTATTAAGAAAATAATTGATCTTTTATAAAATTATTTTGTCTCTTATCATAATGTATGCAGTAAAATAATAAGAATATCATTTTCTAATAAAAATATACATAAGAATGTAATACAAAACTTATGTATATTTTAAAGCGCCTATTTTCAGCAGAATATGTTACAGCTTTTATTATTTAATTCATAATTTTTCATAGATACAATAGCTTAACATCAAAAATTAGTTTTCATAAAATTGAAAACTCAACATGAACACACTGTCATTATTGTTAAGTTTGTCAAGTGTAACAAATAGGTAATCTTAAAGGTTAAAAAATTGGCTTTTTCTTACCGGCATACTTATAGTAGGAACAGAACCACTTCGCAACTTTCTTCTTTTTTGACCAATAGTAACTGAAAAGCAGTGTGGATGAAAGTGCTTGCTGCATATTGTAGTATATTTATGCGAAGTCCAATGTGGTCTGTTTAACATCCGCAACCACTTTTCTCTGCTCTCCGGATTTATAGGGAACCTGCAAATAATATGTTATTCGGTTTCAACTAATGGACAATACACACATTAGTATAACCATGTAGGCTTTTGTCAGTTGTGAGTACAATAGTTATCCCTGTCATTATAAAAAAATAGTTTCTGTGTTATTCATTATCAGTTTTCTTAATCGGGAGTGCTATTGCACAATATCTTGACAAATTATTTCTGAAGTCTAATTTTCAATAAAATTAACTTAAATAATATCTTTATTTAAACTGTTATTATCAATGAACTTAATTATTCCTTGTATAGTAATATAACTTATTATCCTTCACTTCGTTTGAATGAAGTCGACATCAAGAACAAACCGAGCTATCTTATCACTAAAAAGTGAGGTTACAAATACTCTCATATTTCCTTATTTGTTATTTTCTAAATACGGCTGTTTTTTAAGTTTTAATTCATCTCAGTAGTACATAAAATTGATTTTTCATTGAAATTTCTCAGAAGCCGGTACATTTGTGTACTATTATTAAGAAATAACGATAGATATCAAGTTGTAAACTTACTGGTGAAATGAATAATGCTGGGGATTATTCCTTTTGGAAGAATCACATCCTGGTACGGAACAAGAAACCATCGTATTATACACAATAAAGTTACTAGTTGTCACTATAATTTACATAAGAAATTGCCGAAATGTATTCACTCACTAACGACTGGGCCGTTATTGGCCGTTATGTACCGGTAGCAAATATGTGCTTAGTCTCGCTGACAGGTTCATTCACTTTCTCTTTCTAACACACGAAAGTACCGTATGGCGCGGTAGCTCTCTTTTACTCATAAGCCCAATCTATGGAGTTTAATACTATATCTATGTGACAGCCCGAGAACGTTTTTTTTAATCTGGCTTTAGGGATCTGGGTTCTAGCCCTTCTAAGCCTGAAGTTACAATGTATTAACTTTACTATACATTCATCAAAAGTTCACTTTCATTTCACTTTGATTCATAGTTTGTTTACGTTTGCACTATTGATTAATATCACGTTGTTCTCATTTTTATATATCTTGGACACCAGATATAAAGGAATATGGTGGTCGGAAGAATTTTTCATCAGCTAGTAAACTTTGAAGAGTATTAGGAACTTTATCATTGATAATATCTTGAATGGAATTAATGAGGAGTAATCTATTCAAACCAAATTGACTGCATTGAAAAACCAGATGTTTTAGGTCTCCTTTCGTATCTCCACAATATTCACAATTTGCTTATATTTCTATTTCTAATACCTAGTCAGGTCATAAGTATTGTCACACAGTAAAAACTTTTCTTTTAGAATGCTGGCGACAAAAAAGTTTATTGAATTCGAATTTCGAATTGTTCATGAAAATAAAACTGTATACTTTTTAGAATTTTACTCATTTTTAAATATGGAGTGGACGCTTAAAGAAGACCGTGTTGCAGTTATTGCGTTGCATCGTTACGGTTACGCGCCAATTCAAATTTTTGACATACTGAAAAATTTGAATATAACCAAAAGATTCGTTTATCGTACCATCAAACGATACAATGAAGACTAGTGTAGATGACAGGTCAAGAAGTGGTCGCCCTCAGTCTGTTAGGACTCCAGCAGTGATAAAAGCTGTGAAGGCGCGAATTCAAAGAAATCCCAAACGTAATCAGAAACTGTTGGCCCTTCAGATGGGGTTAAGCAGAACCACGGTGAAAAGAGTGTTACATGAAGACTTAGGGCTTTGGGCATATCGAAGAAAAACAGGACATCATTTGAATGCTCGTCTAATGGACCTGAGACTGAAGAGACGCCGCGATTTGTTGAAGCGGTACGCGGGAAAAAATATCAGGAAAATCTTTTTTCGGATGAAAAAATTTTTACCGTAGAAGAGAGCTACAACAAACAGAATGATAAGGTGTACGCACACAGTAGTGAAGAAGCGAGCAACCGTATTCCGCGTGTCCAACGAGGTCATTTTCCATCCTCGCTCATGGTATGGTTGGGAGTTTCTTATTGGGGCTTAACAGAGGTACATTTTTGTGAGAAAGGTGTAAAAACGAATGCAGTTGTGTATCAAAATACAGTCCTGACGAACCTTGTGGAACCTGTTTCTCATACCATGTTCAATAACAGGCACTGGGTATTCCAACAAGATTCGGCGCCAGCTCAGAGCGAAGAGCACACAAGACTGGCTGGCGGCGCGTGAAATCGACTTCATCCGACACGAAGACTGGCCCTACTCCAGTCCAGATTTGAATCCGTTAGATTACAAGATATGGCAACACTTGGAGGAAAAGGCGTGCTCAAAGCCTCATCCCAATTTGGAGTCACTCAAGACATCCTTGATTAAGGCAGCCGCCGATATTGACATGGACCTCGTTCGTGCTGCGATAGACGACTGGCCGCGCAGATTGAAGGCCTGTATTCAAAATCACGGAGGTCATTTTGAATAAACTTTAGTGTCATAAGAATCTATGTTTTGTTAAGTTCATTTTGGTATATAAACGGTTACATAATGAATAAACTTGTTTCAATTATTTTATATTAAACTAATGTGACAGAATTTATGACCTGACTAGGTATATTTACTTATTAAACATGTATATATATTATATAATAAGGGGGATATAGTAGCACCCTGCATGGTGCCTTTGTATACATTTCTAGGGCCATGTATTATGTTATTAAATTTAACATACATAGTTCGGTCATATAGCAAATTAAAAATCCATTTACATACTTTTCCAGGAATACCAATCTCACACAGAATATTTGCCAATATGGAAGGATCTACATTATCAAATGCACTTTGTATATCAATAAATGCACAAACTGTAGTTGCATGTCTGGTAAAAGAATGATTTATATCTGAGATCAAAGAGGCAAAAGTTTTGCCTCTTTGATCTTAGATATAAAAAAGGAAAAAGTGCAGGGGAGAGTTTTGCCGCAAAACTCTCTCCTGCACTTTTTCCTTTCCGGAAACCAAATTGTTGTTCAGGTAAAATATTATTTGCTTCTATGTAATAATTTAGTCTGTTTTTCAACATATATTCAAATAATTTTCCTACACAAGAGGAAAGTGAAATTGGCCTGTAGGAGTTGAAGTCATGTTCTGGTTTATCAGGTTTCAAAATAGGTATCACACATTGCGTTTTCCAAGACTTTGGAATACATTGATTGTCCCAAAGCATATTAAATATTTTTAAAATAGTTTTTTGTCCTTTGACATGCATGTTGCTAATAAGTTTGTATGGAATATCATCCAATCCCGGAGTGGAATCTCTCCTTGATTGGATGGCTGCAGTAAATTGTCAAGTAAACTGTCAGTACCTATCTGATTAAATATTGTATTTAAGTTTAAAAAATCTATTTCCTTTTCAGAAGGTGTTGTTATGGGTGCATATTTATCTAAAAACGAAGGAATCCAATCATCATTTTTTGATGGCTTATGTACAGGTACCCTCTTAAATCTAATATAATTCCAGATATAAGTTATTGGAGTAATATCTATTAAATGAATCACAAATTCTTCTCCAACTTGTTTTCTTTTTTTCACTAATTAATCTCTTTTTGAAGGCATCAATCTATTTATATTCTATATAATTTTCTATTGTAGGATTTAATTTGTAAAATCTTAAAGCATTTTTACTTTTCTTTACAGCTTCCAAACAGTCCGCGTCCCACCAAGGAACTGGTTTTCTCATAACAAACACATTAGGTTTGGAAATTATAGGTATACAGTCTTTCCTTATTTCTAGAAGTGTGTTACAGAAGTTTTCATACGTATCAAGTAAATTTGATGTATCAATTGTGAAGTTTTCAAACTTTTTTTTGTTTCAGCCTGGAACTTTGATCAGTCTGCTTTTTTATAATTGAAACGTTCACAAGGTTCTGCTATATCATATTTTTCAACACAAGTATATAAGTCGACTATGGTTGTATAGTGATAACTACCCATAGGATCATCATGTACATGCCAATCTCATAAATGAACTAAAGAAGGACTAACATATGAAATATCGATAGAAGATTGATTAAAATTAATGCTTCCTACTGTAGTTGGAGATCCATTATTTAATATGCAAAGATTACATTCGTCTAATATGTTATAGATATCAGTGCCTCTAGTGTTTGTTGTGAGACATCCAAAAGCAATATGATGAGCATTTAAGTCACCTGAAGGCAAAAGTGGCGTAGGTAGACCGTTAATAATTTGTTTTAATCTTCTGACCTTAAAGCGACCTCCACTGGGTGGGGTATAGACACATAAAATGGATATATTACCTAGACTTGTAGTAAAGGTTATAGCTACCGATTGCATATAATCATAGAACGGTGAGGGGAAAACAAAATATTTGAAACTATTTTTAATTAATATTGCTATTCCTCCACGTCCATTTTTTCCATTCTGATTAATGAAATTATAGTTAGGAATGTTGATAGTTCTATTCTCTCGCAGCCATGTTTCATTTAACAGGCAAATATCTATATCATTCTCAACTAGATAATTAATAAGCAAAGGTTTTTTATTATTAACAGATTGTATATTAAATTTTGAAATTCGAATAAATTGTTTATTCATTGTTTTTAAGATTAGTAATAAGCATTTCTTTTATACTTGATGCAGTCAGTTTACGACCTGAGTTACCCATGGCTACCAATGCTCCAATAATTGATTTCAAAATATTGTCATTTGTTATAATTTGGTCAATAAGTGTGTCATTATTATTAGTTGTGGTATTAGTTTGGGTAATTTCCGTCTTTGATTTGTGTACTTTAGGAGATTCATTAGATTTAACTTGTGATTGATCTGTTTTTGAGTCCATTGTATTTTTTTGTAGGCATTGATGGGAAATTTTCGTTATAATTGTTAAATAAATTCTGAGTTTGTTTTGTTTGTAAGACTTTAGCATAAGTAGACCTATTATATTTTTCATCAATTTTTTGTTTTTTTTATTGGACAATCTCTAGAAATTGCGACATGAGGGCCACTACAATTTATGCAAAACACAATTACCGCATTTTCCTTACATTCAGTGTACCGATGTTCACCTGCACAAATTGAACACCGTTGCATTGATTTACAAATTTTAACTCCGTGATTAAATTTAAAGCATTTAAAACATTGTAAAAGCGGGACAATATACTGATGCACCCTAAATTGGAATAAATCCAGATGTACAAAGTCAGGTAAGTTGGTTGACAAAAAAATTTAAACTTATAGAACTGAACGGTTTAATCGGCTTGACGGCTCCGTGGCGCAGTGGCTTAGCAATGAGTTGCTGCGCTGGGGGGCGCGGGTTCGAATCCCGCACGGAACAAGTATTTGTATGGCCTACAAATGATTGTTCCGGGTCTGGATGTTTGTCCTTGTGAAATTTGTGTTTGTAAACTGCCTCCACGATACAGGAGAAAATCCTAGGGTGGGGGTAGCGTGTTTAAAAAAAATAAAAATAAAAAAAATCTGTCCATTTACTTTTTTTGTGAAACGACGCACTGCAACGACGTCATATTTCGAAGATAGTTTTTCAAACAGCTCTTCATTACTTATGCTAATGGGAACATACCTGAGTACCCCGATTGTTTCCACCGCCTTTGCTGGTATAAATGCCTTGTAATCATACTTTTTAAGAAACTTTCATTTTTCAAAAAGTCGTTGGCGTTAATCGCCCGCGCAAGCACCACCTACTTTAGAAGCATTTATTTTTCTTATATTAGTGACTCCTTTTATTTCATTTTTGAAGATTCCCGCCAACATTAAGGGATTCGTATTGCCAAGTTTAATTCCTTCTTTACGACTCTCAATATAAACCGTGTATTCAGCCATTTCCATTGACTCAGGGAAAACTCTTTTATAATTTAATTT